TCGCAATAAAAACGCATTTATTTTAGTTTTTAAGAATCATACATCTATATATGAATTTATTCTATGAGATTCTATAGAGTTTTCGAATAACTTGCATATCATTCGGTCATTGAACCCTTTGGGGACGGTGGCCGTATATGTACGATCTTGAAATTTAACTGAGGAAATAAGCCCTTAAATATACTAAAACTAGGTTTTTAAGTGTGGATTTTTCATTCCAACATATATGATACACATATACACATTATGGAATAGTTTAGGTACAGAACATATATATCTCATTGTATTCCATCATCGTTTATTGTACATGTTGGGTTATCTATCATAAGAAATTAGTATTGGGTTGTTTTAGGAACCCATCATTGCATTTATAACTCTAATATCATATCACTATATTATAAATACTGGATATTTTAATAATAAATAGTAAAAAGTGTCGAACACAATAAAATTCTAAAGCACAATATAACTATTTAAGTTATTATAACTAATCTTACAGACTGTATTACAATTTTCCTTTCATCTTGATATATTTTCCACATTATGATGGCGTCTACTAGTAAATATGATTTGGACATGAGTGAAACCTTCACAAATGTTTCAACAGATACTGATTCAATTTCCGACTTTAATATCTGGTCGAGTAGTGAACAAGAAGAAGGCCAGGACAGTGAATCAGATAGTGAGAAAGAAGAAGAAGAAGAGGTGCAAGATACGAAAGAATATTTTAAAGAAAGAACATGGAGAACTGATCGGTTCAAGCCAAAACGATCTATATTTGACTCGAGTAAATCTGGTATCAGTTTCCATTTATCGAAAATTGATGAAAACAGTTCATTGGATTACTTTCGTTTAATATTTGACAATACTTTGATGGAAAAAAATTGTTGAAGAGACAAACAGGTATAATTTATTTTTAATGCAACAGAAAAGTTTATCTGAAGGACGCATAAAAGCAATTGACACTATTGTATCCGAAATGTTTACCTTTTTTGCACTTTATATGTTAATGTCTCATAGAAAGAAAAGTCGAATGAAAGATTATTGGTCTACTGACTCATTGATCTCAACACCTACATTTGGAAGTATCATGAGTAGGGACAGGTTTCTTTTACTTTTACGATTTCTTCACTTCAATGACAATGAATATCAACCAACTAATGATAAGTTATACAAAATAAAACCGATCATTAATTATTTACGTGAACGATTTGGTCAACTTTTAGTTCCTTATCAAAATGTATGCATCGATGAAAGCTTGATATTATGGAAGGATCGTCTTAGTTTCAAGCAATACATTCCATCAAAAAGAAGTAGATTTGGAATCAAACTATATGTATTATGCGATGTTAATACTGAAATTATATTAGACTTCATTGTTTATACAGGAGCCACTACTGATATGGAAAGATTTTCCGGTATGGGAATTTCTGGTTCAATTGTAATGATTTTATTATAACCTTGCTTAGATAAAGGTCACAATCTATTTGTAGATAATTTGTTTACAAGTGTTAGCCTTTTTGAGAAACTATTTGAAAGGTCAACTGGTGCGTGTGGAACTGTTAGAAAAGATAGATTGGGTTTACCTGAATTTCAAGCTAAAATTGGAAAAGGTCCACAAGTTTATAAAAACACGGACAACATGTTAGCCTTGAAATGGCATGATAAAAATGATGTTATTATATTATCAACTATTCATGAACCTCAAATGAAAAATACCGAAAGAAATAGTACAACAATTCAAAAATCAGTTTCAGTAATTGATTATAATTTTAACATTCATATGATTGATAAAGCTGATACGCAAATTAGTTTAGTCGAGTGTTTAAGAAAAACTGTAAAATGGTACAGAAAATTATTTTTTCATATGCTTGATTTATCAGTCTTCAATTCATACGTGCATAATAAAGTCAATACTGTAAAGAAAAGAAAATGTGTGGATTATCGTCTACAACTTATTCATGAAGTCTTACAAACTTATACTGTTGCAAAACCCACAATAGGTCGTCCTACACTGACTGATCTATCAACCAGACTTACTGATAGACNATTTCCATCTCCTGTACCCGAAACAACGAACAGACAAACTCGTCAGAGAAAATGTGTCGTATGTGCACACACTAGTCGAATACCTAGAAAGAGGACTGATTCACGCTATATGTGTAAAGATTGTGATGTAGCTCTTTGTGTTGTTGGATGTTTTCAGAAATTTCATAATTTATTACATTTTTAGTTTCTTTTTGTACTAACTTCTCTTCTCATATATAATTAAATTTTCTTGATATACTTCTTGGATGTATGTTTATTTCTTCTGTTATAGAATAAACACTGCGTCTTTTGATTTGTTTCTGGATGAAAAAATTATATTTAATAGCTGTCAGGTGATTTTATAAGCGAAAACCTAATTTTTTTCTAAAAAAAAGTCAGTCCCCAAAAGGTTAAAGAGGTATCGAGTGAAAAGCTAAGGGATTATTTATGTTTGAACATCGTTATTTTCTAGCGCTGAAATGTGCTATGAAGACATAAGAAAATTAAACTGCTTTTCACTTATGATTGTTGGATGTGCCCGAACAATACACAACAGCATTTTCGAGCTAGAGACATCTAAAAAATGTCTCTTTGTCAGTCCTGTGTGTTCTTTTCCTTTTCGTAAAGGACTCTTTTGAGTTTGTAATCTTCAACGTCGACTTTCGACAATGGTGTATTAGAAGGCGGAGTTTGTTTTCCGAAACCTGCGGCCTGATTACTGCGGATACCATAAAAACGACTATCATCCAATTAAAACTATTTACGATGAAGGCGATATCCTAGCATATCCTTCCTCGAAACCCAGTTCAAGAGAATCCTTCTATTCAAATTTTCTTGAGCACATTTTTCTGTACAGCATCATGCATAATTTCTAGCTAGGCCAAACTTATTCGGATGATAAAAGAATACAATCTTAAACAGGGCTTTTCTACATTGGAACTCACCAATCTTATTGATAATTCTCGCCAAGGACGCTATCTGAGAAGAGTGACATTACAATTCTTAAAGGCTGCTGTTCATTTCACACAGAACTTCTCAAGACTTGTTGATAGGAGAAAATTCCTATGATAGCGAAGCAATATTATGTAAACTTAAGAGGTGGCATTTCCGAGTAAACGCTCTGTTTACATTCATATTGCGTCTGTATGTAGGGAATCATTGCAATAGAATCATCGCCAAAGGGTTAATCCTCTCGTTGGGATTCGGCCGAATTTTCTAAGTTTTAGTGGGCTTACTTCTATATGGTGTTAGATTTTGAGTGCAATCCTATTTCGAATTTTGATGTACAACTTTGTCAACATGAAGGCCTTCCTATAAATAACTCATATACAAAGTTTTATTATTTTGAGACATTCCATCTTTGAACATTGACATTTTGAAAGATTCATTTATCAGTGACCCAATGTTCAAGAATTATGAGACTTAATGTAGGCGATGTTAGCTATGTACTCTATCGAATGGTTATGACATATTGACGGTTTCTCAAACCAGTCGTTCTGAAGTCAAAAGAAACGGATTTTACTCTATAAAACATGTAGAATCCAACTAGTAGTTCCTGCTGTGATTGAACTAGGAACTGCGTCAGGTTTTCTTGCTTGTGGTCCAAGGATAATTGTACCTGATCTTTTTGTTGACATCGAGAAAAAGATATGGAACAAGTCGTGAGCGAATGATTGCTCGGAGTACTTTTAAAATTCTCTATAGCCTGAAGGAAAAAAATATCATTTTGCGATTTGTAAGTAACGGTATGACATAACATAACTCTGATCTCACCGTTTGATAGAGGATGTCAAGTCCTATGTGAAACGAAAACGAGAACATCTGAAATGTCTCATAAGTGAATATGGGCACTCTGCAAAATAGGAGGTTTGCAGAATCCTTTTAGGCCTCTAACAAGTTCTGAGTTTTACTTTACAGCAGAACTCCTGCAAAGGGATATGTGGAATAAAAAATGGTCCTAAATCCCTATGTAAAAGATTTTTCTCTTATGCCGAACCCTTTTTTAAGGGGTTCTGCTTTCGTGTAAAAGGCAGAATTTGTTAGAAAACCTGAAATTTTCTTCAAAACTTAATTTTTTTCAGAGCAGCAATAGCTTGTATCTGGTACTAACTTCACCAACGTTGAAACTTCATAAATGAGCAAGTTATAGCAAGGCTTCCATGCTGAGAAAGGTGCAGATCGAAATTTGAGATATGATTTGACTTGAAAACTAACTTCCTATGGTAAAAACCCACTAACAGTAGAAGTTTCGTGTGAATTTCAACAAGAGCACGAATATTTTGATGATTATTGTAATCTAATAGACTTCTATGCATGGGTTTGATATGAATGTAAAGGTAGCATCATCTCATTAGTGGTACTATATAAGGATAGAAAAATTTTCTGAGTACTGATAGAGTAAAAGAACTTTAAAAAGGTACTGCAATTTCAAAAGACTTACGTTAGTTTCTTGTATTGATGCGATAAATAGTGTGATGATGACGAGTATAATACGTTTGTAATATGTTGGTGTCGTTTAAAAAAGAAAATGAAAGCATCATTTTGCTTATGTGCATATCGAAAGACTCTTTGGCTTGCGTGAATTCAACCGTATACGTGGGATAAGTATGATCCTATGTTATTGAGACAGATTGGTTTTTTTTCTCGTACAAATATTTTCATTCTTTTGCTTGTTCTATCACTTATTGATCAGACAGTTTAATTGACGAAGAGAGAGAAAGTTAATCGATAGTAGGAAAAATGTGCATTATACCACAGCTTTATTTTTTTTTCTTCCTATCGTTGCACAGAATAGGTAAAATATGAAGGCTTCACAAGCAATAGTATGCTGCTTAATACCGTTGATTCTGTTAAAATCAAGCTGAAACGCTCCGTATCTCTAGCAGCAAAGATACTATTTTTTAATACTACTTTTGGAAGCATTTCCTGCTCACAGGCATGTTCCTCCATAAAGATCGAGATTTGAACGCAATCTCAGCTTTAGGATCGTCTCCGATCCCTAGAGAAATCAGAGATTTGCTTTCACCAGCTGCTTCGACCACCATTTTCGGTTTATTTGCCGTTCTCATCGTCATGTGTAATCATCTCAGTTGGAAATCAGCTTCAGATAATTCACACTCTCAGCCACAGAGTCAGTTATGTTTTCAACCTCAACCTTAATATCGAGGTCTATCGGACTTGTTGTGTTTAGTGAGGGCTCTGTTAAGCCTAACTTCTCGTCTAGCTTTCACTCATTGTTCTTTACCATCCTAAAGTATTTCATGAACCAGTGCTCATTTTTACAGCTGTTACGGTCGATTATTGTCCTCAATTTGGAGATCTCGGCTTCAGATTGTACTTTGAATTGGATCATATTCTCAATTAGAGTAGCAGCTTCGATCATAACTATAATGCTCGTTACAGACGTGTTTTCGGACCTCTGCTCTGGCTCAGCTTCGCTAAAATTCTGGTTTTAGAACGGTACTCGCTAACTCTCAACGTTTCTGTAAAAATCTTGAAAGCCGCTTACGATCCTGTTACCCTCGAATTCTATTTTACAAGTAAACATTCGCAACTGATAAACACCTCTCGCTTCGATGTTTTACTGGTGACTCAAGTTAACCATGTATACAAATTATTCAAGAGGATTCATACCACTGCTGCTTGGTTTCAGTGCGAAGAGAAGAACAAGTCTCACGGTACTTAGTGGCACCTTCTCTGTGTCATTAATTTTCTTTTTCCTGTCTTACCTAGGAAATACATTCTTCTATTGAAAATTTGATCACTAATTTATCTTTTCTGTGATTAGTCACCCTTGAAGTCTTAGATCACTCTTACTTTACGTCGGAGATAGAGGACATTCCTTATTTTCTTTTTTTGATAACCACTTTTATTCTTTTCACCCTTAGGCTCAAGGAAGATTTATATGGTTTCATTTGATTTTCCTTTCAAGAAAAGGAACCTAAAATGAAAAAAACAGTTGTAGTAGGCGTTCTTTCACAAATAACTGAAAAGTCATACAACGAAAACAAGTCAAATGAAATAAACGCTCGAGGAAGGGTACTGGTCAATATGTAATTATGATATTTTTAAAAAAAGTAGATACAACAAGAGGCTTCTTTTCTATGCAGCGTAAAGAATAATGTTGCTTTCCATAACAGTGCATAACGCGTTATTTGTTTGAAATAGAAGAATCATTAGAAGAACTTCTGTTTTCTTCCGTCTGAAAGACAAGTCAGATTTAACTGACAATTTAAGGATGAATTGTGATAAACAAGATAATTTACTAATCAAATTTTGAACGAAAAAATTTATTTCCTAGTAAAAATACGATAAGATATACAAAAAACTCAGAGAAGCTGGCGCTAACTACCATAATACTTGTTCTATCCCTAATACTGAAACCAAGCAGCTATGGTGCGAATTCTTTTAGATAGTTTGTATATACAATCTACCTCAACTACCCACGATATATGCGCTCGAACGACGCTTATTAGTAGGCAATAGTTCCTCGTGAGCATGCCGCCGGATGACAGACATCCCCCTGGTCACGGTCCCAGATCCCTACCGGTTTGGGC